GTTTCATCTTTTCTTTCTTCTTTTTGCTCTGCGTAACAGAAAAAATATCAGCTGAATTGTCCTCTCTGTTGAACGAGTTTCCATCCTCTTCAGCTGTGCTTGAATCTATTGGCGACTTGTTAAGATCAAACTCTGCTTCATTCGGATTCTCTGTCTTGGCTTTATTTGCTACACCTAATCGAGTCGAGGCATTTTTTTTAACAAAACCAACAAAATTCTTAAGCTGTGAATCGTTTGTAATGATCACTGGTGGACAAGTTGATGTATTGATCAATTCAGGAGGTAAATAACTCAACTCCAAATCGACCACCTTGTCTTCTTCCATATCAAAATCCTCCAACACCATTCTCTTAAATCCTCCAAGGTAGAACTTGATTCCGATAACTGTAATCTATCCCCTTTTTCATCAGCTGAAAACACCCATCCCGTTGTAGTACTTAACTCCCATACACCACAAGTGGTATAGATATGCATCATACAAGAAAATTTGTGAAAATCAAAAGAGAAACAATGGAGACTAGGTTGGATGAAGAAGAAACAATGGAGTCGACACAGAAGGGATTTTGGAGACGTGAGAAATCAGTTTCCCACGTTTAAGGTAAGTGCAATCATCAAAAAAAAAATTTTGAATATTTTCCCAAATATTTTCCCAAAATTTCGGATTTTGTTTTACCTTATCCGTAGAAGGTATCTTCTACAGAAAGTATAACTAATAACGTGTCACTATAAGCAAATCCTACTAATAGTAGAGGTTTGGTTATGTGTAGATTACGTATTCTGAGATTTGTAGAAGTGGCTTAAAACGTAAAACCCGCATTCAGTTATTCTGTAGAATTCTTTATACACGTAGAATATAGATTCTAAAATATGTAGAGTTCTTTATAAACGTAGAATATAGCTTCTAAAAATTGTAGAGTTTACTGTTTAACGTGAAATATGAGTTCTACTATGCGATTTTTCGTAGAATATGAGTTCTACTCTCCGTAGAACGTAATTAAATATTTTTGATTTACCAAAATTTTGAAAATATAAAAAAATATCAGTTTGTGTATATAGGCATTTCATCACTTCTTTGTATTTTTAAATATTTTTTCGAGTCATATAATTATTTATTTTTATTAATTTTTATAAATAGAAAGGGTAAAAGGAAGAAAAATGGATAAAAAGTGATTTATACTAAACGGATATGAAACCTGTTTTTTTTGTTCTATATTAGAATCATTCCAAAAAATTATCAACAAAAACAAAAATTCCGAAATCAAAATCTAGCTATCCTTAAAGCTTGAGCTATTATTTTTTAAACCTACATCACAAAAATTTATCTTATAAATATAACCCTTAAACTTGAAAATGTTTGGTTATATGTTATTTTTCTTATTTGAAATTTAGTTTTAAATTATGAAACCAAAATATAAATCCCAAACTGAACAGCCCAAGCAAAGGAAATCTTGGCGACCATTAAGAACTGATCTTTTACTCCTCACATCACATGTAAACTTGTTGTAAAGGTATGATTCTGGCCAACCAAAAGGCATAGTGTAACAACATGTCTTGTGGAATTCAGGCTGACTCATCACCGATCGCAAACCCTCACATATAAACTCTAAACTTTTCCTAGATAGATATTTGGTGCGTTTGATGTTTTTCAAACCCAAGATCTCACCCTTTAAGAGTCCTCCTACATGATAAGTTGTAACCAATTGACATGTAGATCAATTGGTGACAACTTATGGAAAGGTTGTTAAAAGGTGAGGTAATGGGTTCGAAGAATGCCAAATACACCAACAACCTACCTGGAAAGAGCTTAAGGTTTACAGATGAAGGGTTGGGATTGATGCTCTGTTAAGCTAATTTGAGTCCCACAAAGCAGGTTTTTACGTCTAGGTTTTCCCGATTCAAACATGAATTTGGAAGATAATGGCCAAATTGTGGGGAATAATTTATCCGGGAAGTCAATCTTCATGCTTTGAGCATGATGTTGACCTTCTTTTCTTTATTCATGTCTTTTGACCTCCCAATCATATTTTTCTCTTGCTTTCGGAAAAAAATTGGCAAATTTTCATCAAGGAAATATATTTCCATGTTTCAGAATATGAAAGGATCTATCTATCTATATTATTATTTGTGAAGTGATTTTTCGCAACGGAGCTCTCACATTAAAAGTTAGAGTGGCTAATATCGATTCTACCCTAATGAATAAACTATATAAATTAGCTAAAAATAAAAAAAAAACAAATTTAATATTCATTTACTAAATTATTTGTTAAAATTAATAACAATAAGAATTAATCAAAATCTAAAATATTGATTTTATTTTATAAAAATAATTCTTATATATATTGTGTTGTTTATCCAAAAATATCTTTTTAAAAAAAAATTAAAATTCAAAAATTCATAAACAAAAAAAATACATAAATTAATATATTAAAATCGTTTTTATTTTAAAAAGATAATTCTTATATATTGTGTTTTTATCCAAAAGTATCTTTTATAAAAATAATTAAAATTCAAAATTTCATAAACAGAAAATACATAAATTAATATATTAAAACAACGAAAACTAAATAAAAATATATCTTTATAGCATTTTAGTTAGTAATGCATTTACTAATAATAAGTAATTATAAATTGCTAAGCCCGCATGTGCGGGCAAAACATCTAGTTTAATTTAAATTTCAACTACATAATGCAATTTTAAATTTATCATTATAGCTAGTATAATAATATATTTATTTTAAAATAATTTTTACATATTAATAATATATTTGTTATTAAAATAATAAATCGTAGTCATTATATAAAAACATAATTTTTAATATTATTAAATACATAAATTATATAAAAGTTATATATAAATTGTTATAATTTATTTACTGGTAGAGCAGTAACTGATTCATATATAAAATTATCATAAAAATTAATATATGTTATATAATTTGTTTATTATTCCAAATAATATGTATTAGTTTATATCTATAATATATAAATATATATTATGTTATGTTTGTTATTGATAATAACGAACGATATGTGTAAAAATATAAATTATATTATATTTGAAATGTGAAATATTGTTCTTTTAAAAAAGTTAAAAATTTAATTGCAATTTTTATTTTTAAAATATAAGTTTTCTTTAATATAATTTTTTAATATTATTAACTAAATATAAATTATTTATGTAGATTTTTTCTAAGTTTTATATATTATAACTGTAAATGCTTTCCCAAACGCTCCACATAAGAAGATTGAGCAAAGAGCATTATTAGTATTTGGTAAATACTTTTCTAAATGCTTCTTTAGTAAATGATGATTGGATAATATAGAGCATAATGTTAATACTAACGTTCTGTCAATCAAGTCCAAAGACTATTATTCACTTTTGACTGTAGAGAAATGTGGCTAGAACTAGGGTTTCTGAGCCAATATGTTGTACTTATGTTGTACTTATGTTCTACTGATAAAAAAAAAACACTATCTTTTATATATTCTTCTTGTTTTGCTACTTTACTTCCTGTTTTCATAGTATAACGAAGAATTCAACATTCTTTTACTCTAACACTAAATCTAGAAGTGACTGATATCTCATGTTTTTATAGATTTTTAGTATCTCATTTTAGTTCATATTGAACATCTAGATTACATATTAGGTATATATATTGCATTAGTGTTCATTTGTATATAACAGGCTTTAAATTGCACAAGTGGAAGTTTATGGCGAAAATCAAAGGTCAAACTGTACATTTCAAGAATTATGAAAATGTGTCAAACAATTATATGGTAGAAATATTCCAATCGAGTTTAATTGATTTTATTTAAGTTAATGAAATCAATCTGTCATTTATTAAACTTAACCCTAAATCATTAAAATCAATTAATAAAATCAAGTTTATTAATAAACTTATTAACTTAACTAAGTTTATGAACAAAATCAAGTTTATTAAATTTAATAAATTATTAAGTTTATAAAGTTTATTAATTTTAATAAATTATTAGGTTTATTAAATTTAATAAATTATTAAGTTTATTAAATCAATTTTATTAAGTTTAATAAATTTATAAATTTAATAATTCATTCATTTTAAGCAATTTATTAAGTTTAATAAACTTATTATGTTTAATAAATTATTAATTCTATTAAATATAATATTATTAATTTTATTAAATTGGAAAATATTAAGGTTATTAAGTTTATTAAACTATTAAGTTTATTAAATTATTAAGTTTATTAAATTATTAAGTTTATTAAAATATTAATTTTATTAACTCTATTAAATAAAATTATTAAGTTTAAACTAATAATTTAATAAAATTAATAATTTTATGAAACTTTAATAAATCTATTAAACTAATTAACCTGAATAAACTTAATAATATTTTCTTTTATTTTTTGTTATTTTTTGTTTTTTATTTATTTAAATATTTATTATATATATATATATGAAAAACAAGAGTATATGAGTCTTTTATCCTTTAATGAAGATGCATTTTTGAAAATGTTCATTTGCTGATGGTAAACATGAAAAGTGGTATCACCAAAGTGGTATAAGTGAAATTTTCCCATAAATTTATCAAAATGAATTGAATTATTAAACTTATAAATTTATTAAACTTAATAAAATTAATAATATATTAAACAAAATAATTTTATTAAACTTAATAAATTTATTATAATGAATTGAATTATTAAACTTATAAATTTATTAAACTTAATAAAACTAAATAATAATGTTAATAATTTATTAAATTTAATAAACCTAATAATTTATTAAAAATAATAAACTTAATAAACTTAATAAACTTAATAATTTATTAAATTTAATAAACTTGATTTTGTTAATAAACTTAGTAAAGTTAATAAGTTTATTAATAAACTTAATTTTATTAATAAACTTAATTGATTTTAATGATTTGAGGTTAAGTTTAATAAATTACAGATTGACCCCATTAACTTAAATTAAAATTAATTAAACCCCGATTGATATTTTCAAAAGCGAGCGGACGGAAAAAAAAAATTGTGAGAGAACGATGGCGACGGCGAATTGAAATCTAGGGTTTCGAAATGGATCGTGGTTGGGATCCGGGAATTAGGATGGAAGGGAAGATCGATGAGGCTTGTCAACCTGTCGGTCGGATTGGGATATTAAGTTTCTCAATCGGAGTTGTAGCAAAAAGGATACGGGAGATTGGATTTGATTTGGATTGCTATACTCTGGGAATGAGATCGGATCCTCCTTCCATTTTGGAAACGATATGGAACGATATGCAGAATCATGAAGGCGATTCTCAAGGATTTCAAGAGATATCGAGAAGTATGGGAATTCTGGGAGTTTTAGGGACTTTTATGGTGATCGTGAAGGTGTTACTTTGGTCTGGGACTTGGTTTGTGGGTAGAGAAGTGTCATTCTCTTGGTTGATCTCTTCAAATCAGTCCTTGAGTCACGGTGGTTTGGTCACTGGACTGCAAAGGAGCGAGTCTCCACTCATGGAAATGACCAGAACTGCTTCTTTTATATATATTATGGGAAATTGTTGTTATATCGAACTGTCCAGGAATGATAAGATCCACTTTAGGTCCTGCTGCAGTTAAGGTTTCATCAAGTAAATATGTGTCAGTTGGTAGACTCAGGTACATGTTTGGCCAGGACAAGTTTCTGATGTGGGACTATTTAGGTCGTTTGTCACTCAGAGGGTGTTTTGGTGTTGTAAAGTAATATGTAAACCAGTGAACTCTTACATAAGTCTATGGGAAATATCATCACTGTTGACTTTGGTAAAGAAAATTTCACATGTGGTTTCGTTAATACAAATTCTTTTGTCATTTTATTGTGGGAGGGTAATATCTATAAACGGTTACCAACGGCTTCTTATGCGATCTGTTTTAAATTATCAAGATACAGAATTTCGGTTTGGTCATGCTTATAAAGGCCACAATGGCCGCAATTATAAAGCTATGGAGGTACGATCAAAGGTTAGTCGACTAGTGACTGTATATGATATGCAGATTACTCTTCAGCCACTTAAAAGCCTTATTATGGTTAATACAAGAACCCAGGCTCATAACGTAATTTTCTTTAAGGTTATGTATATAACCTCATTACACTACCACAAAGATAGGCCTACGCTTTTCGACCTTGCAGTACTGGAAAGTGATTTTTGGTTTAGATTACTATCTTTTTTTAATTTCGGCTACCAAGTCGGTGTGTTTTTTATATGCGCAACTAGTGGGGTGGGCATTCACTTTATCATAACTGTTCTTTTGGTATTTCTCTGCTATAAGAATTATAGTTGGTTTACAAATGGTTATGTTCAGTTCTGGTATTGTTATTTATGTATTTCAGTGAGAAATGAGCAATGGCACCAAATTTACTTTGGTCGACATATTTATGTCAAATTTTATTTTGGTTTTATTATGGTGTATCAACAATTAACGAATTGGGTCTCATTAAACCTTATTATTCCGTTGGGTTCTATGGAGCATTCCTAAAAATATATTTTTATGAGTATTTTAAACTGGAATTGTAGAGGTGCTGGTAGTTCGGAAACAGTTCAACGTATTCGGGATTTACGACGTCAATACTTTTCGGATTTTCTTTTTCTTATAGAGACTAAGCAAAAGTTTGGGGTATGATTGTCTATACACGGTGGAACCCATTGGTCGTAGTGGTGGTTTAGCTTTAATGTGGAAAGATTGTTATGTAGTTGAAATTTTATATAGCGATAATAGAATTATTGATCTCAGGGTAACAATGGGATCACTTATCTTTTTCCTTTCATGTGTATATGGGGATCCAGTACGAGGAAGAAAAAGATATGTCTAGGATAAATTAACGGACATTGGCGTGGTTAGAGACGAGGCGTGGGCTTTGGTTGGTGACTTTAACGAGTTAATGAATAATGATGAAAAGTTGGGGGGTCCTCGTAGAGAAGAAACCACTTTTTCGATTTTTGGAACATGGCCGAAGCATGCAAAATTAGGGAGCTGAGATCCACGGGAATTACCCTTTCTTGGGCGGGTAAGCCGGATGGCCATTGGGTACAATGTCGGCTAGATAGGAGTTTTGGTAATGATGAATGGCTTCGCCTATTCCCTCAATCGTCTACGGACTATATGAGTATGTGGTCATCGGATCACCGACCCCTACGTATAGAGTTCGCCCTCGAACTTGAGAATTTGCAAAGGGGACGGTTTTATTTTGATAAGCGTATGTATGGGAAACCGGGGGTAGATGAGGCTATTGTTCGTGGTTGGGATGTTGAAAACGTGGACTCCAATCTAAGCGTTCTAGATCGGATTGCTCGTTGTCGATCGGAATTGTCCAAGCTTAAAAAGATGAATGACTAGAATTCAAAAACAAGGATAGAACGGTTACAGATTGATTTGGATAAAGAGAACTCAAAGCAATTTCTAATCTATGGGTTGGTTAGGAGACTGCGACAGGATTTGGCTGGGGCCTATAGGGAAGAGGAAATTTTTTGGAGACAAAAAAGTAGAGAAGAATGGTTACGGGAAGGAGACAGAAATACAACATATTTCCATAATGTGGTTAAGGGGAAGAAAATAAGAAATAAAATCCTTATGCTAAAAGATCTTTTTGGATATGAGCATTACTCTGAAGGGTCTAAGGGACATATCGCTACTGAATATTTCAGAGAGTTGTTTACTAGCTCTAATCCAAGTGATTTAGAAACTTTGTTTGAAGGTTTTCAAGGCAGGGTTTCTGCTGATATGAACACATTGTTAACCAGAGAGGTTTCTCCTGACGAAATCAAGAAGGCTGCGTTTGGTATTAAAAGTAGTAGTGCTCCTGGAGAAGACGGACTTACTTGTTTTTTCTATCAAAAATACTGGCACATTTTGGGGCAGAAAATTATTGAGGATGTTCAAGGTTTTTTTAAAACATCCATCATTCCAGCTGGGTGCCACCACACACAACTATTTCTGTTACCGAAAATTTCACATCCTACGAAGATGAAGGATATGCGTCCCATTAGTCTTTGCAGTGTACAATACAAAATCATTTCTCGGATTTTATGTGACCGTATCAAGGTGGTTATGCCAAAGATAATATCGGAGACTAAGGGGCTTTTGTTGGAGGCGGAGTAATTACAGACAATGTTATTATAGCGCATGAACTGGTACATGCATTGCAAACTAATGATAAAATTGGTAAAAACTGTATGGCTATTAAGACAGATATGTCAAAGGCCTATAATCGAGTTGAATGGAATTTTTTGGAAGTCTTACTAGAACAAATGGGTTTTGATCGTAAATGGGTAGCTTGGATAATGTCTTGTATTACTACTGTCACCTTCTCGTTCTTATTTAATGGTCGTTCTCATGGGTTTTTCAAACCGGAGAGAGGAATACGTTAGGGAGATCCATTATCCCCTTTTCTTTTCATTTTGTGTGCCGAAGCGTTTAGTTCATGTATTAAACAGAGCTGAAGCTCAAGGGAAATTGCATGGTATAAAGTTAGCTGCGGGCAGTCTATCTATTCATCATTTGCTTTTCGCTGATGATAGCTTGTTGTTGTGTGAAGCTTCTGTTCGGGATAGTTAAGAAATTTTGAAAGGTTTGAAACTTTATGGGGATGCGTCTGGGCAAATGATTAACCCTTTGAAATCTTCCATCATTTTTTGGAAAAAAAATTGCAGATGTGACCAAGCAGAATATTAAAGAGGTTTTGAGTATAGAAAAAGAAGGTGGCGAAGGGACATATCTTGGCCTCCCTGAGTGTTTTCAAGGTTCAAAAAAGGATATCTTAAATTTTATAAAAGAAAAATTAGAAGGACGGTTGCAAAGATGGTACTCTAAAACTCTGTCGATGGGGGGAAAGGAAGTTTTAACAAAATCGGTTGCTCTAGCGCTCCCAATATATGCCATGTCAGTGTTTAGATTACCAAAAGGTCTGTGTGAACGAATTACTAGTGTGATTATAGAATTTTGGTGGAGTAGTGGGGACAAAAAAAGAAAAATTCCATGGGTTCCTTGGGAAAAGTTGTGTAAACCCAAAGAACAGGGTGGTCTTGGGTTTCATGACATTGGTCGTTTCAATCAGGCTTTGCTAGGGAAACAAGTCTGGCGTATCTGGAATAAGCCTGATTCTTTAGTTTCACGAATTCTTAAAGGTAAATATTTTAAAGATGGCCAATTTATTGATTTTGGAATGGGTACACGTCCATCATATGCTTGGAGAAGTATCATGCATGGTAGAGAACTACTAAAAAAAGTTTATATCGACATATTGGCAATGGGGCTGATTCTAATGTTTGGGCTGAAAGCTGGATTATAGACACCATTCCTCGACCTCCAATGTATCGGGCGAATAACTCCATAGATTTAACGCTAAAAGTTTCAGACTTATTTAGGGAAGGAACGAATCAATGGGATATGGACTTATTACAACAAACTTTTACACAAGATGATGTTCAATGGATTTTACTATTGAAACCATCACTGGTATCTGAAGATTCGATTCGATGGGGTTTCACACCAAGTGGTCTATACTCGACTCGGAGTGGATATAAATTGTTAGAGACTTTGGTGGATTTTGATCAGCCCCAAGGACATTCGCTCACTCCTATTGAAAAACAATTGTGGAGAGATTTATGGAAGACCAAAGCTCCACCAAAAATAAAATATTTTATGTGGTGAGCTCTCTCTGGTGCCTTAGCTGTTAAGCAACGCTTGACTACGCGGGGAATCCCTATTGATCCAACATGTTCGGTTTGTGGTAATGGTGTGGAGAGTATATGCCATGTTCTTTTTACATGTGTTAAAGCATGTGACGCATGGGAACAATCTAACTTTCCTATACCTGTTGGAGGTTTCTCTCGGACTTCTACTTTTTTAAATTTTGTTCACTTGATCAAAATTGATAAGAGCTCTGCTACGGATATACATAAAAGAAATGTTTTTCCATGGTTTCTGTGGGAAATTTGGAAGGCTAGGAATGCTTTTGTTTTTGAAAATAAGGATATTGAGTTCTTTCATTTCTAAAAGAGCCTATGAAGAGGAATCAACGTGGTTTGATACATTTACAACAACGAGGGATGGTGTGCGGACAGAAATTATGGAAACAAATTGCTGGAAAAAGCCGTCCAATGGTCTCATCAAATGTAATGTTGGATCCTCGTGGGTTAAGTCCAACCAACTCAGTGGTGCTTCATGGATTTTACGTGATGAAAATGGATTTACCATCATGCATAGCCGGCGATCCTATTCCTATATGCACACAAAGACAGAAGCTGATTTGTTGCCTTTTTTCTGGGCGGTTGAATGTTTACAGAACCTATATTTTTCAAATATTATTTTTGAGACTTCCTCGGAGAGCCTACATGACGTCTTTACAAACCCTGATCAGTACCTTAGCTACAGCCATATCCGTCACAACATCTATTTTCTTCTTGCAAGGATAGATTCATGGAGTTTGGATTACACCCTTCTTGAACGTAATGAAGTTGCATCGGCAATTGCATTAATCGTCACTCGTGATATGCGTCATCAGCCTTACATTGCCCGAAGCTATCCGCCGTGGCTACATCACTTTCTAATTTTGGAGGCCCAACAAGAAGGGGATTATGTGAGGTCTCTTTCACTTTCTTTGGTGTCTACTGACATCTCTTCATATCCTTCTTTACTGTCTTTTTTGTAAACATCATCCGTTTGGTTCAGAGAGTGTTATAAAAAAAATTAAACCCGATTGTGATGTCTCCACCATATAATCATTTACTTTGTATATGTGGCATGT